ATGCTTCATGCAACTTGTCTCGCAACGATTTTGACCATTGCAAGGCATGTTAAACGGTGCAATGACTCGTGCAACTTGTCTCGCAACGCCATTGCGAGACAAGTTGCATGAAAAATTGCACCGTGTAACAGGGCCTTTACTCTCATGTGCAGTCATGTCCTTGAATAATTAAATACATTCAAGAAGTCTGTGGAAGACATTTTGTAGTCTGCGTAGCAGGCGCTTTATTTTATTGAATGTTTTAAGGATTTTTGAATAAATGTTATTCAAAAATCCTCAAAACCTTCAACAAAATAAAGCGACTGCTACGCAAGCTAAACATTTTGATGTCGACATAACAACATATGTGACAAAACAATTACATACGTAATACGTTTGTTTAAAGTGTAACCCTTTATATGCATTTATTCATCGACGATCGAACTATAAATACATACATTAACTCACATGCAGCCTCTATTTATAACATGCATTATAATAGGAGCCATTCGTAATGTTACATCGATCCTTTCTGCTACAAACGTTCTTTTTTCCTTCGTAAGTTCTGTAGCTCGACACGCTTCTATACACTTGTCTAGATCTGAATTTGCAACTTTAAGTAGATTCTCTCTTAAATTATCATCACACATTCCACAAACAATGCGGTCACGCACCAAGGAATCTGTAAGCTGCTCGACATTGCATGTGGTTGCTAACATTTTTAACTCAGTAACGAACTTCTCTGTCGATTCACCTATTCCTTGCACTCGTGTGAAAAATCTATATCGTTCAACCGTCTTGTTCTTACTAGACTTACAATAATCTTCAAGTAATACGTAATACGTCTTCTGTCCGTTCCTCTTCGCTTCTCTCAAAATTTATTGTATTGTAAATATCTCTACCTTGACTTACCATAAGATTAAGTAATACGCGGCCATATTTAGTATATTAATTAAGTAGCCTATGGCAATATCCCGAACAGCTACAACTGCACGTCAAAGCTAATACGGATAGAGCATTTGATAAACGTTGTACCCATCATTGTACTATCATCAACATCACATGACAAGAGATAAAAATGTCAAATCATCAAAATGATTCAGTTGTATCAAGCCAAGGCCAGTGAAACAAGAAATTGGTGAGATAAAAAATCCAGATATAAACATTCATATCCTTTTAGTACAACTAAACTATCTGTCTATCCTGCCGCTACAGTAGTACTGCATGTATGGGAATATTATTCGTCTGACTTATGCAGGCTAGCCGCATTGCTGTTTTGCTTTATATATTTATGAAAGCTATTAAGTTATTTAATAAATTATATTATACACTTACCAATCCCAAAACGATATTCAACGAATGCCCACAGGATCGAACTTCAATTCCTAAATATAAACAGGTCACTTCAACTTATAGTGTTGTGAAATCATAGTTGATAGAGGAGATGATTTGGAAACTCATTAGCATTACAACATAATCACAATAAACCTCATTATCTATGTTGTTCAGGTTTATGCAAAAATGTACAAATGACTCTTTCCTCGTCACGTGCGTATTGTATTTGCCCCAAGTCAACCAATAGGAATGTTCAAAATAACCTTTTGTTAAAGTCACGGATGGGCAACTGAACAAAACGTTGCTATTGGCTGGTTGAGCAAGAATACAATACGCACGTGACGATGAACGACTACATTTCCAAACCATCTCCTCTATTAACTATGGTGAAATTAATGAAAGAAACACAGCAATATATTTAATATTCGAATTCCCAACATTTAATAACATGCATCTGTCACCCCTCGAAGGCTCGAATAAAATTCCTCTATGATGGTATGATACCCGGAACTTAATGCCTATCGCAGTACCGGCTGAATTTCCCTTCATGTCTAACATGGCGACCGTCTGGAGAGTGATGCACTGATAAAACTGATAATAACACATGTGAGATTATTTATAATAATTTCACATGTGAAAATTATCGCTTTTCAATTATCGCTTTTCTGTAAAAATTATCGCTTTTCAAACACTGTCCTTTATATAATAAACCGAAAAATACATGGATGCTTGGAAATACCAGATTTATTTCTCGTGTTGAAAATGATATCTCACTCGTTCGCTGCACTCACTCTTGAGATATCATGTTTAACACTCGAAATAAATCTGGTATTTTCGCGCACCATGCATGTCTCTATGTAGTATATTATTAATATATACGGCAATTCATTTTATAAGAAACATATCCAACTATAAGTATTAGTATACAGGTTGTATAAAAAAAACGCAACCTCGGAATTTCCTAAGAAATCACTTTGCAATTCTTAAGCATAAAAGATTTTAAGCCCCTGGGAATTGAAATC